AATCGCTGTGTACCTGGGATTAACCAATCGCTGTCAGGTGCCGTGTGATGGGGTAAATCGCTGGGTACCTGGGATTAACCCCTCGCTGTCAGGTGCCGTGTGATGGGGTAAATCGCTGTGTACCTGGGATTAACCCCTCGCTGTCAGGTGCTGTGGGATGGGGTAAATCGCTGGGTACCTGGTATATTACAGTTCTTCCTTCTTTTCCTCCCTATTCCCTTGCTTTCTTGGTTCATTATGGTTAATATCTTTATTCTATTTATTGAGTGTAATATGTGCAATATAGCAACATAGTGAATCAGATAAAACCAATATCGCCAAGACGTGGCAGTATAGTGCACGCAGTCACTGGAATGGAATTTATGTCTGAGGTTACAACAAACCCCCAGATTGCAAGAATTGTACAAGAAAAAAAGCACAACTAAAGTTAGAAAATGCAACCCTTGATTCCTCAAGATTTGTCCTACAAGAGAATCTAGGTAGACATCCCGCAAGGGAATGTATTTGTATATAGTTTATGTTTTCTTGTGAATAAATTAAAACCAAAACCTGCGTTCTTGCGCCATCTTCCTACAGGTACCTGCATGTACCATACCATATACCTTGTCCAGCTTTAAGGTATTATACTGTAAACTAATGTGAATGACACACAAACAAGGAAGGTTAAAATATAATTTACAATATATATATATATAAATAATGCGGTTTTATAGTTTGTGATCAGTTGTTCTCAATTCAATGAAACAGTTTATCTAACATGAGCTTCTAAAATACAAAAGTGTATGTAAAGGTGTGAGATTAATCCCAGCATTAATGAATAGGGGTTGCAAGGGTAGTTAATAGGAAACAAAAAACACAAAAATATATGGTGAAAGGGCTGGGGTCCCAGAGGAAAGAGGAAAGTAAAGTGACGGCTCTTGTATCAATTTCTGCTTGCTGATATTTACTGCCATCTGATTAAATAACGTTTATAGAGATTGTTAAACTAGGACTAATTATTTAACGTTTAGTAACTGTGCGTTAGATCTCAAATGTTCTGTTTCTGTACAGATTGGAGCAATCTCTTTCTGTATTACTGCAATATAAAGATATCTGTTTTGTGTCAATAATGACTTTCACCAGAACCGGGAGCCAGATGGTCACCTGGGCCTTTGTCAAGTCTGATGAGAATGACCCAGATTTGAAGCTGTAGGGGTGGTTGTTGCTTTAACTCGTGTTTGAAGTTTGTAATTTTGTCCGGAATAATACATTCTGTTAGACCAATACAATTGAATATTTTTATTCTTTCACATCTAAAAAAATACTTAGAAACAAAAGGCACAAATATGGCCAAACGGTTCATGCTGTTTTTTCTAGTAATGACAGGTTTGTACATCTCCGTCTCTTGTTTTTATTTGTCGGGCTGGGACAATCTACACATACTTGGTGACAGCTGTGAGTGGACTGTGGTAGACGTGGCTGCTGTAACAGTAGATGATGGCTATGCAGAGTATACAGCTCTGACAGCTGGCCTTCAGATAAATGATCTCCTTCCAAAACAGCTGGAGACTGGGTATTCCAGTTCTAGAGTCTGTTTGTGTTTCCTTTAGCGGGCTCCTGTTAATTTGTTATAATGATCGAGGACCAGGCTGTGGGTATTACGGTTCTAGAGTCTGTCAGTGTTTGCTAGAGCAGGTTCCTGTTAATTTATTATAATGGTCGAGGGCCAGGCTGTGGGTATTACGGTTCTAGAGTCTGTCAGTGTTTGCTAGAGCAGGTTCCTGTTAATTTATTATAATGATCGAGGACCAGGCTGTGGGTATTACGGTTCTAGAGTCTGTCAGTGTTTGATAGAGCAGGTTCCTGTTAATTTATTATAATGATCGAGGACCAGGCTGTGGGTATTACGGTTCTAGAGTCTGTCAGTGTTTGCTAGAGCAGGTTTGTGTTAATTTATTATAATGGTCGAGGGCCAGGCTGTGGGTATTACGGTTCTAGAGTCTGTCAGTGTTTGCTAGAGCAGGTTCCTGTTAATTTATTATAATGGTCGAGGGCCAGGCTGTGGGTATTACGGTTCTAGAGTCTGTCAGTGTTTGCTAGAGCAGGTTCCTGTTAATTTATTATAATGGTCGAGGACCAGGCTGTGGGTATTACGGTTCTAGAGTCTGTCAGTGTTTGCCAGAGCAGGTTCCTGTTAATTTATTATAATGGTCGAGGACCAGGCTGTGGGTATTACGGTTCTAGAGTCTGTCAGTGTTTGCTAGAGCAGGTTCCTGTTAATTTATTACAATGGTCGAGGACCAGGCTGTGGGTATTACGGTTCTAGAGTCTGTCAGTGTTTGCTAGAGCAGGTTCTTGTTAATTTATTATAATGGCGAGGCTGTAAAGTTATGACAATGAAGCTGGTGGCTATATTTCCAGTGTGATAAAACATTTCCACCAATTAATTAAACAATCGTTAAATATGGTGGAGTATAAGTGAAGGAGAGGCGAGAACAGACATAGATGGCTGGATGAGGAGAGTGAATGGCCGGTACGGAGCCGTCTGCAGGAGAGAGGAAGCGGGAAGAAGAATAGGGATGAAGAAAACGTAGATGGGCATGATCATGCTTTCTCTCTCTGTACCGGCCATTCACCCTCCTCATCCTCAGCCTGCCATCTACGTCTGTTCTCGCCTCTCCTTGACTTATACTGGCTACACACAACATTCACTAGGGTGGGATTTACACATTTTACGCCATAGTAGCTGAGATGGTAAAATGGCTGGATTAGAGAAAATGTTGGCAGAAACATTGAACCTCCACGGTCCTGCACATTTCCTGCTTTAGTTAACCTGGCCAGCTGGTTTTCATCCCAATTATATCTTGTGTTTTCTGCCTGTGCCATCCTTGCAGGGTATTATTATTTTATTATTTATATAGCATTCTGTTCTATTCTATCCCAGACTGTATAGCCTCCCCCCCTTAACTCATTTAACCATGAGGAGAATAGTTAAAGGAATTGCATGTTTGAGGCCAATAATAAAGATTCTTCAGACATAGCCACCACAAATTCCCCCCAATACCAACACCTATCTCTGCCTGCCGTGCCCTAGCAGGAGGCTGCAATACACCGGACTTGTTCTCCTTTATGCCAGTTTCCGGGCATACATGTGTGTAAGTGCATAGCATTCTCTTTTAATTTATGTTTTATGGTTGTTTTTTATATGTCTAACCTGTTGGTACCTGTGATACTCCATTTAAAGACTACTTCTAACCTTACTACTGACACTCACTATATTATATGAGTAAGCATTCAGCAATGTCGGGTACAACATCCCTGGATTGGGATTTTATTATCCTGCACACAGTGTTTTGTTTCATATTACATGCGTAGGTGATCTCTATTATATATCTATATATTTTTCGATTGTTTTGTACCCTGGCACAGTCTCTCTTACTACCTTCTGATGTCATGGAGGATCTAGCTCGGAGCTGACGGAATCTCTCAGACTGCCTGGAATGTGAGCTGAGACAGTCTCCGTGTGAGGTGCCAAACACTCCGTACTCACATAATGTGTCCCCTGGAAAGTCACAACCATTTGTTCTCAGTGTTATTTTAGGACTAGCTTTTTCTAACTAGACCATTTCCTTGAAGTCTCCTTGGAACCCTGATATAAATGGTCATTTACTGGGATTGTATTATTCAAACTGAACGATAAATGTTACTCTTTTTCATTTCACCATAAATGCTCTGTTTCTAACAGTTTACTTTAAAAATGATGAGGTAAAATGTTGCCGATATAACGACACTGTAATTTTGCCTCATTGAGGATGCCACATCCCCATTATAGCACTCTTTGTAATGGTGCGGATCACTATGGTATCCATAGTGTTTCTTGATGGAGATTTAGGTCTAGGGATTGTTTAGTGTTGAGGGACTTAGAGTGCACAGAGTAAGGGGGGGCTCAGGGTTAGGGTGCGCAGAGTAAGGGGGAGCTCAGGGTTAGGGTGCACAGAGTAAGGGGGGGCTCAGGGTGCACAGAGTAAGGGGCTCAGGGTTAGGGTGCACAGAGTAAGGGGGCTCAGGGTGCACAGAGTGAGCTCAGGGTGCACAAGTGGGGCTCAGGGTTAGGGTGCATAGAGTAAGGGGGCTCAGGGTTGGGGTGCACAGGGGGCTCAGGGTTAGGGTGCACAAGGGGGCTCAGGGTTAGGGTGCATAGAGTAAAGGGGGGCTCAGGGTTAGGGTGCACAGAGTAAAGGGGGGCTCAGGGTTAGGGTGCACAGAGTAAAGGCGGTCTCAGTGTTAGAGTGCATATAGTAAAGGCGGACTCATTGTTAGGGTGCACAGAGTAAAGGGGGGCTCAGTGTTAGGGTGCACAGAGTAAAGGCGGGCTCAGTGTTAGGGTGCACAGAGTAAAGGCGGGCTCAGTGTTAGGGTGCATAGAGTAAAGGTGGGCTCAGGGCTGGTTTGTATTTGCGTTCAGCTTCTGTGACTAGAACTCTTATGAATCTCAACCAGTCTATGCCGATAGCCTTCATAACCCCAAGTCCCCTAATGCTGCTCCAGTTCTTAGCCATGCCCATTTCTAAATGGTTACACCAACCTTAACTTCACCTTTCTTTATTCTCAATATTTCAGAAGATTTTTGCCAGTGACTTAATGACCCTACGCCCTTTCTAATACAGTAGAACAGTTTTTTTTAATAGAAATATTATAATGTCCCCTCTTTTATTTTCTTTCTTTACGTCTTTTTCTGTTATGGAAACTTTCAAGTAAATAATAAAATGTTGGTTTTTGAATATGGTTTTCCATTAATAGAGTGAGGAGCGGGATGATGACGGCCCGGTGCTCTGACAGTTACATGCAAGACACCTGTGCCCAGCTATTGAACCCCCTGACGGTCTTTATATTTGGGGTACAGTAATGGAGGTACTAGTTCTGTATGAGCAGATTAGGCCTGGTTAAAGCTGTCAGTCTCCTATATTCTCTGTGCTAACATGTACCCACAGTTAAACCATATATTCACACAGGAAACAAAGTGGATTTCAGCAGGATTTGCATTTTATTTACTATACAAAGTGACATTGACACCTCATAGACAATCACATACGGCAAGAAAGAAATCTGCATTCGGATGCTTTCCTCCCGGCCTTATGACGGAGTCTGCGTTCACTCACTCTCTCCCTTCTGCAGATAAAAGAGGTCATGTTAGTGTTAGTCTGACTTTGTGTTTGTGAATGGCTTACTGGAACAGTCCCTTGGCTATCACAGAGGCAGACAATGCATTCTAGAGTAGACACTGGGTCATTTGAATCAGTTGTGAGATTTTAGCCATTTTTCTGGATGCAGATCTGTATCACTCTCTAATGAATATAGATTACGCATAGTTTGCTGGACCTTTCTAAATTACTCTCTGGTGTTTCATAAATGAGAAATACCCAGATTCTTACCTTGCCCCCCATGTCACGGCTCTTTGCCCTCAGTTTGTTGATTTGAGACTCGGCAATGTCCGCTCTCTCCTCGGCTTCCTCTAGCTCATGCTGGACCTTTCTGAAGCGGGACAGGTGTGCGTTGGCCTGCTCTTCCTGAGTGACAGATAGGTGGTTATATCACATTTCAGATGGCATTATTCTGTCTTAAATTAGTTCCTTTTTTTCAAACATTACAACAAAAAAAAAAAACAATTTGCTGCACTGAAGTTATTTTCCAATCTGGCTACTTTGGCTTAAGATTTCCAAATTAAAGATTTTGCAATTCTCTGTTTTTGAGAAAGCCTGACCCAGCGCCGAGGGATATCGGTGCTGCATTCAGGTAAGTCACTGAAGGGGTTTTAACTCCTTCATCAACATGGGATGGGGGTGCGAGGGAGGGGGGCACTGCAGGAACGGATATGTTTTCCTGGCACTGGAGAGTCCCTTTAAATCTATGGGATTTTTTTACTTTGGATACTTTTTTCACCCCATGCTTTGTTTAATGAACTCACCGACTCTTCGGCCTGTCTCTTGTAGGCTTTAACTTTCATCTGGAGCTTATCCACCAGATCCTGCAGTCTCAATACCGTCTTACGATCCTCTTCATTCTGTTAATGTAGTAAAGGAGAAAACCTTTCTATTTATTAATATTATTTATATAATGGAGAAAACCTGTCAACTTCCCTTTTTGTCAATTTGAATTTATAAAAATGAAGAATTTATCATTTAGATTTCTTAACAATGTTAAGCAGCGTTTTATAATAAGATGTTTTTGACTCCCCTTGATGTCCCTGTAAGACCTATTTCCTTGCTTTGAAATTCCTCCTTTCTGGATAATGTGTGGCGTACTCTTGCAATAGTTGTATAACTTTACCTGATAGGTCAGCTCTTTCACGCGTCTCTCGTACTTGCGGACACCTTTAACCGCTTCTGAGCCATGTTTCTGTTCAGCATCAAGTTCATTTTCCAGCTCACGGACCTATATGATGATTCCACTATTTATTTCATGCTTTTAGAAATTTATATTATTTTATTATAAATATTAACCTCAACAAACTTTTTTAAAGTATTGTGTTACTGGTTAATCCTTATGTTAACGTGTAATCTTTTAATATTTTTTATATAATGTTAAACATTAGAGGAGATGGATATTTGCAAATAGATGAGTCCTGCTTACATAAGATACCTGACCTTGTGCCATTTGTGAGGTTTAGAAAACTGTTTCTAAAAAACAAATACAAAGAGAAAAAAAATGAAAAATTTTAATACTACGTACTCTTGCTTCCAGTTTCTGGAGCTGCTTCTTGCCTCCTTTCATGGCCAGCTGCTCAGCTTCATCCAAACGAAGCTGAAGGTCCTTCACTGTCTGTTCAAGATTCTTCTTCATCCTCTCTAAGTGTGCACTTGTGTCCTGCTCTTTCTTCAGTTCCTCAGCCATCATTGCAGCCTTTGAAAGTCATAACAGTCAGAATTATTCCTTTCAATGTTTCACTGAAAAATATGTGTACACAAACAGGACAACACTTACATCAGTGATGGCTTTCTTGACTTTCTCTTCTGCATTCCTGGCTTCTTGAATTGCTTCCTCGACTTCATTCTGAAGCTGGGATGCGTCACTCTCCAACTTCTTCTTTGTGCTTAGGAGACTTGTATTCTAAAGAGAAAGAGGGAATTTAGAATTACTTGCTTTGTAACACAGGATGCAGCACTGAGATCCCTTCTCTTTATTGAATGGTCCTACCTGGGTGTGAAGAAGCTGGACTCTTTCACTGGCATCCAGAAGTTCCTGCTCAGCAATCTTTCTAGATCTCTCAGTCTGTTCTAGGGCAGATCTTATCTCCTCAATTTCGGCCTGTTGTAGGTTATTCCTGCGCTCCACCACAGCAAGTTGCTCTTTCATGTCCTCCTGACCTCTGAGAGCATCATCCAAGTGGAGCTGGGTATCCTAGTATGCCAATGTATAGAACAAGTTAGTTTTACAGTTATCTCAAACATTCATTTTATTGCACTCGTGAGAGAGAGTGGCCTGTCATAATGATGTCATTGTGCCACTAATACCTTACAATGCTTCCTTCACCCAGGGCTTTGTGCCCCAAGGACATTTTATGTATCACAGTTTCCATTTATGTAGAAATTTCGCCTGGTTGGAGTGTCATGGACTCTGCCGGGTTTGTAGTGGCTTTTAAGTGGGTTTTAAGGCTTGGCTAGTGTAGGGCTAGACATTTTAAGCCCTGTCTTAAAAAAACAAGTAGGAGAAACCGAATCATTTATAGACCGATAGAAAGTTTGTAAGCTGAGAAAATAATGGGAATATGTCTGCAGGCTGAACAATTACACAATTCTGTATGATGTGATATGTTCTTTTACTACTTTGTCATTTTATATACCTTTCTATGACTGTTTTTACATTGCTATTTGTATTACACCTTTAGCACACTGGTCTCGGTGACAATCTATTGAATGACTTTTAGAGTTTGCCATACCTTCAGCTGTGCCTGGACATTTCGGAGCTGTTTCTGCGCCTCCGCAGCTTGGCGGTTGGCGTGACTCAGCTGGATTTCCAGTTCATTCAGATCTCCCTCCATCTTTTTCTTTAGTCTGAGAGCATCATTACGGCTTCTGATTTCAGAGTCCAGCGTACTCTGCATAGTATCAATGATTCTCTGACTGTTCCGCTTCAGCTGCTCAATCTCTTCATCTTTCTCTGCAATTTTCCTGTCTACCTCCGATTTCACCTGGTTCAGTTCAAGCTGAATACGCAGGATCTTTGCTTCTTCGTGCTCCAGAGATCCCTAGTTAAGGCAAAAATAACTCATACTTTAAAAATGAAAACAAGTTGTATGTTTTTTTTTCACCCAATGAAGGATCTCTCTGTACCTCCGCTTCCTCCAAGGCTGCTTGCAGATCGTTCTTTTCCTGTTCTACAACCTTCTTGGCTTTTTCCAGCTCATTGATAGATTTTGCAGATTCACCAATTTGTTCAGTCAGATCTGAGATCTCCTCTGTGTAGGAAATTGCCACAAAAAGTATTTTATATGAATATTCTTTAATTCACTCTTAAGATATTAAATTCTTTCCCTATGGAATATTTATCTTTTTTTTTAAAGTTAGTTCAGCTTAGTATATTACGTACGTTGCAGGTTCTTGTTTTCACGTTTTAGACTTTCCAGTTGTTCTAAAGCCTCCTCATACGCGTTCTTCATTTTAAAGATCTCCGTGCTCAGCGTGCGGGACTCTTTCAGAGCTGCCTCTAGTTCAGCTTGGCCTTCTTCATAATTCTGTTTCCATTCTACCAGGACCTGATGGTGTAATATGGTTTATTTCTGAATGTCACTTGAGAAACGTAAGGTATAATATGAATATATTAACTCTTTACCTTATCGAAGTTCCTCTGCTTCTTGTCAAGAGCTGCCGCTGCGCTGTTTGCTCGTTCAACATCCACCATCAGATCTTCCACTTCAGCCTGCAGCCTCTGCTTGGTCTTTTCCAGGGATCCACACTTGGAGTTCACGGCCTCCACCTGCTCTTCAGCTTCCTGTAAACGCTGAGCCAGCTTCTTCCTGGTAATTAATCAGAATGTTTAATTAGTGGTGTTGGCTGAACAGAACCTCGCCAGGTCCTGGAGGAGCCTGCTTGCCAGCCTCCTGCCTCAGGACTTTTGCCCCTGCAATAGACTTTGGCTAATATACTTTAAAAAGGCTCTGTTCGTGCATTTGGGATATGGTTTGGGAACCGAACAGCCGCACGAACCTAAGACCACCCGGGAGCTTGTTAAGGCCAATTGATCCTTTGTAGCAATTTCGCAAACCGCAGTGTTCTAAGTGTTCGTCTGGGTGGCCACATTTCATATGAACGACCACGAAGTAGTGGCCATCTTGTTCCCGCGAACGCAGGCAGGGGTGTTTGGGCATGAATCTCATGGAACTAAAATCGGACACAGAAACTACCGAACACCGATGGACTTCCATCACCGCCTGCGTTCAGTTCTACCCCACTTAGAAAGGCACTGTTTGGTGGAAATGTTCCCACAAACAAGGGTAACAGGCTACACAAGTAATTAAGGTATTCTGTTCTGTGTTTTATGTACTTTTGTGCTCGCAAATAATAGACTTTCATAAAAATCCCAACGCCCCGGAACCGATATGGGTGAGTTTTGGATATGTTGGTCACCCAGGGGATGTGACTTTTGTGTGGTTTTCATGTGTTTTGGGGGGGTTTTGGGGTTTGTTAAATTGTATGTTTTTGTACCTGAGAGATAATTTAATTATATGTTTGTGTGTTGAGGTAATTATCTCTCAGGCACAGGGGAGGAGTTTGTGGAATGGTCCAGTGGAGAATGCCCCTGGAATGTGATTAAGGAAACCCCTTGCATGGGGAGTTGCATAAAAGATGCATGTGGCTCCCATTAAACAAGTTCCAGTACATCCCCAGCATAGAGCCTCTTCTCATGTCTATGGGAGAAGGCTATACAGGCTCTTGTAAGAGCTATCCTGCTATAATCTCTGGAGTAGGAGAGGTCCACCCACTGGAAGTTGGGTCCAGGTTGGATGGAAAACAGCGAGTCCCCAGTCAAGCTGCAGTGGCCAAGGGTCTACAATGCTGATGGTGTCTGGTGGAGTGCTTGGAGTGCTCGCCGATACTAGGAAGCAGCGATTGGCGGAGATACCCAGCCGGGTGCCAGGTGGTCCGCCACAAGTGGGAATTATTGCTAGGCTTAAATAGTTTCCGGTTTTATTATCCAGAGCTAGTTAGTGCATACTTGGCCTCCTCCAGCTCTTCAGTGCGCTGAATGGCATCTGTCTCATATTTGTTTCTCCATTGTGCGACCTCCCCATTTGCTTTGGACAAAGCGCGCTGGAGCTCAGCCTTTGCCTCCTGTTCCTCCTCATACTGTTCACGGAGCAAGTCGCAGTCATGGCGGGAAGATTGCAGAGCGTGAGCAAGGGCGTTCTTGGCCTGTGGATGTAAATATGAGACAGTTTAAAATAATTTATAAAAAAGTATTTATATTTATTGTGAACGTTAAATAAAAACGATTTTGCTAAGGTAGAAGAAGAAGCAGACAGAGCTGCAAATTAAAATGAACATGATTTGAAGTTAACTCTCTATAGAGAGAGTGCCTTTCCATGGAGACACTAATACCATATAGTCGTGCAGGACTGGCATGTACCAATATTAGATTATCACGATTTGTATGGAAACGAAATGCACAGTAAGAAAGGTGTAATGAGAAGGTCCCATGTTGGAATTGATACCTCCAGCTCCAATTATTATTATTAGTTTCATTACACACTTTGCTATTAGAAGACAAGATAAATCCTTTGTATATTCTGCACATTTACCTTTGTTTCCTCTTCCAGTTGCCTCTTCAGCTCCTCAGTTTGTTGAGTAAATCCCTGTTTGCCTCTGGTCAGCTGAGAAATCAGAGCTTCTTTTTCTTCTACGTGACGGGATAATTCACCTGTTCGGAGAAAAAAAATATTAGGCTCTTGGGATTCATTTTTAGTTTCTTTTTGAATTTTTCTGTTGCCAATTTTAACTTTGTTCTTTTTAAGTATAAAACAATTATTTTATCAGTCACAGAGTAGACACAATTATTATAAGTTCAATTACAATGGTAAGCAAGCTATATTTCTTTTTTGCTTGTGAGCAGATATTAATTTATGGTCTTTGTCTAATTCCTAACATGATAAGTAAATCTGATTCAGTCAGTTTAGGTTAAATTTATATTCTAATCCACATACCATTCTCAGTCTGGAACCGAGCTCTTTGAGTTGTCAGGTCATTAATTAGCCTTTGGTGTTCATCATCCTTTGTCTTTATCTCACTCAGTTGGTCTTCTAGCATCCGGCTCACTTTTTCCAGATTGGCCTTTAGAATGAAATGAAATAATTAGAACAAAGCTTGTTACATTAACACAGTAACTAGGACCTGAACTGCCACTTGCACTTTTTGTACCTTGGACTTAGACACGTTCTCCAGATTGCTGGCCATGTCATCGATTTCCATCTTTAGCTCACTCTTCTCTTTTTCCAACTTCTGTTTCACTCTTTGAAGATTGTCAATCTGTTCACCCAGCTCAGCAACGCTATCAGCGTGCTTCCTGCGCAGAGCAGCTGAAGTAGCTTCATGTTGAAGGGTGGATTCTTCCAGGTCTCGTCTCAGTTTCTGGAACTCAGCTTCACGTTTCTTGTTCAACTCAATCTGGACTGATGTTGCTCCTCCAGCTTCTTCTAGTCTTTCACTGATTTCCTCCAGTTCTCTGGAGAGGTCAGCTCTCTGCTTCTCAACTCTTGCTCGAGCAGCTCGTTCAGCTTCAATCTCCTCCTCAACCTCTTCAATACGGGCCTAAAACAGTGATTTACTGGTTACAGTTGTGTCATTTCCCTGAAGTACTAATTTAGTCTATTAACCATTGTGATTAGCGTTTATGTAGCTTCAACACATGTTAATGTGTGGCTATAACAGAAAACAGTTAATATATGAACAATAAGAAGTCTTAAGAAGAAATTAGGTTATTGTGGATTACGCTCAAACAGGCTTACAATGAACATTATTAAAGGAACTAATTTGTCTTTGTTAACATTTTTCAATGTATCTTTACCTGCAGTTCCTTGATCTTTTTCTGCAGTTGAGATCCCAGAGACTGTTCATCTTCAATTCTTCCCTGAAGCTGACTTATTTCAAAGTCCTTCCTGGTTTTGGAAGAACAATTAATTATTAAACAGGTCTAATTAACTTTTCCTGACTTTCTTTAGGCAATAAATATGAAAGACTAACTTTTTGACTTTTTCATCTGTTTGCTGTTTGTCATTTTCTAGATCCATGATTGTTTCCTGAGCCAGTTTCAGATCACCTTCCAGCTTTCTTTTGGCTCTCTCAAGATCAAGACGAAGTTTCTTCTCTTGTTCCAGTGACCCTTCCAGCTATTACATTTGTAAAGTATTTTCAGTGATATTGACACATTTTGCTAATAAATAGTAGTTTTAGATGCTGCAAAAATGTTATAATTACTTACATCATCCACTTGCTGTTCCAGCTTTGTTTTGGCTTTTGTTAAAATATTGACTTTGTCTTCTTCAGCCTGGAGATCATCAAGAGTTTGTTGATGGGCCTCTTGGAGAGCTTTCTTCTCTTTGGTAATCTTTGTGATGTTCTCGTCTAGTCCAGCCATTTCTTCAGTAAGGTTTTTAACCTACCGGATTAATATGAAAGATCTTGTATATAATTGTACTTTGGAATGAAATGATTTAGGGTCGTAATTGTGGTTCCTCTTACCTTATTTTCAGTGGCGTGTTTCTCCTTTTCTACTTTGGCTAAGGTGAGTTCCAGATCATCGATATCCTTCTTTAGCTCTGAGCATTCGTCCTCTAGTTTCCTTTTTTTGGCAGTTAGCTCAGCATTGCTTTCCTCCTCATCTTCAAGTCTTTCTGTGATCTCCTTGATTTTAGCTTCAAGATTAATTTTGCTTTTGATGAGTCCTTCACATCTCTCTTCTGCATCAGCCAGATTTTCAGATTCCTATAAGAGTGTAATATGTATCATATTCTGTGCATTTATTCACAATTACATTTTCTGTCAATATCTTTTCTTATTTTCTTACCGACTGAACTTGCAGCTGTAAATCATTCTTTTCTTGCAGAAGGGCAACCATTTTCTCTTCCAGTTCCTTCCTGCGTTTATCTGATTTACCAAGGGCTTCCTTTGTCTTCTCAAACTCCTCTTTCATGTTGGCCATTTCCTTCTCAGTCTCGGCACTCTTCAGTAGAGGTTTAATCTTGAAGTACAGCTTCATCCATGGCCAATGTTTGACGTTCATGAAAGACCTGACGTTGTACTGGATGACAAACAAAGCATCTCTGTCCGGGGATAAAGGACAAAGTGTTAGCGGCAAGAATTAATCATAGATGTTAGTATTTTAAACATCTTATAGGTTAAGTAATACCTTTTTTCCACCATCTTCTTGAATTCAACTCTTGAAAGGAATCCTCTGCAGAGAGCCTGAGTGCGCGTGATCAGTTGAGCCAACTTGTCATCTCGCATTTCTTCTAGTACACCCAAAAGGCCAGCTTTGAAGAAAACCTGTAAAGAAAGGATACGTAGTAAGGAGTGATTTAGAGAACTCACAAACACATAGTACAGAGTGCTCCGTAGGAGCCTTTCATTACCTTGGTGTGCCCAAATTTATACTGAGAGTGATCAACATCAATGGATCCCAACAATTTCTCAGCAGCTTTCTTGCTGTCAATAAACTGGCCATCTGGAATTGCACTGGCGTTCAGGACTTTGTAACTTCACCAATAAAACAAAGATGAGACACTTCAGTAAGGGGTTTATGAAAACCCAGTCACAGTGACTGCACATTTTCTGAAGTTGGTGATGACAAGATTGTTCAGATTTCCCTTAACTTTATTAGTTCATGGTTGTTTCAAAGCTTTTCAAATTATGAATTAGAACTGAGACTTCCATATATTATTTGTGGATAAGACTTTGAAATCATTTAATAGTTTTGGATACATTTTTCAATTGTATTTTTTAAAATTTAAAAATTAAAGCAAAATTATGTCATACATAAAATAATATATGAAATATATAACATTTGTGGTTGGATACAATAAGCCAAGTTATAGTAGTGATGGTTTAAGTCAGCTGTGGTGTGCCGAAACCGACATTGGGTTAGGACTGTAAAAGAGGGCCTACCAAGATGAATGGCTTCATAAAGGGAGTGGGTGGTGGGCTGATCCAGAAGGTCTCTACCCTGTGGAATGGGGCGGCCTAAGATTTTATAGGCCGGTTAACCACACCCACAACTACAAAATATTAAAATATTTTTCCAAATATCAAATCATATTAAAAGTTTATCCAGAAATATTAAATCATGTGAAAAATGTATCAAAAAATATTAAACCAAGACCATAGTAAGAAAGTTATTGTACAAGTCTCTACTCCTCTTTTAAAATTTACTTCTGTATACATCCAGCTTTCGTGTAATGCAGATATAGATTAATTACCGTTGCTTGAAATCAGCATAAAGGATTCTACTTGGAAATCCTTTTCTGCAGATTCTAATACCTTCCAACACACCGTTACACCTCAGTTGGTGGATGATAAGATGATTCTCCATGGTACCTGAATGGAAAGGTAATGATGATCGATTAAAGGAACGCGTCAGTTAGGTTTCCTTCCTTGCAATTGTTTGGAATAATGTGTTACCTGGAGTCTTGGTCTCGTTGGGAATCAGACAACGCACAAAGTGTGGGTGAGTGCTTCTCAGGTTAGTCATTAGCTTGTTCAAGTTTTCCTGAGGACCAATGAAGATATTTTGACAGCACTTTATTAAATGAATGCAAACCTTTTAAAAATTACTTGCTGTAACTTAAATTAAGGAGTTAATTTCACAACTTTCTCTGAGATATTCCCTTTACTACTGAAGACTTTTTGAGGTATGGAGAGACTGGACATGATCATTCTCTGACTGTTCAATGAACTGATTTACTGATGTCAATGAAATCAGAAGAAGGCCTCCTGCATACTTATATCCTGTGTTACATTCACCCTATCTTCCACTCTTATATTTCTTTTGTTTTTTATTTTATTTTGGGAATATTAATTTGTGCCCAATGCAGATATAGTAAAATGTGGATGCAGAATGTATGTTTTTTTTTTTTTTTTAAACTATTAAAACAGCATTTCTGAAAAAAAGACTATATAAATCTGCAAAAAAAAAAATAATTACAGAGAGACCAAAACTTACTCTGAAAAGAGCTGACACTGTTTGGAAAGATGACCCCTTCTTTTTCTTACCACCTTTTCCACTAGCTTCTGCAGCTGAATGAAAAGAAATTCATATTAAAGTGTATGCTCAGTGAAAATAAGGAAAAGTTAAATTTTATACAGTGAAATAGATTCATTATATTTACAATCTGCAGCAGCGTAAGATGAGTAGAGGAAGGACAAGATTTTAACAGAAGACTTCTGGTAGAGGCCCACAACAGTCTCGTTCAGTGGGTCCTTGTTCTTGTCAAGCCAGCCAGTGATGTTGTAGTCCACGGTGCCGGCATAATGTACGAGGGAGAAATGAGCCTCAGCCTTCCCCTTGGCAGGTTTGGGCTTCTCAAAGTTCTTGCATTTGCCCAAGTGCTGGTCATACAGCTTGTTCTTGAATGAGGTGTCAGTAGCTTTGGGGAACATGCACTCCTCTTCCAGAATTGAGAAGATGCCCATTGGCTGAAAAGATGGGGACAGAAAGCGTTGATATTCCATTGACCTTCCATTAGTGCTTGGAAGTCAGCTTTAATCTTATACTCACCTTTTCAATAAGTTCGATACAGGCAGCCAGATCCATACCAAAGTCAATGAACTCCCATTCAATGCCTTCCTTTTTATATTCCTCCTGTTCCAGGACGAACATGTGGTGGTTGAAGAATTGCTGCAGTTTTTCATTGGTGAAATTGATGCAGAGCTGTTCCAAGCTGTTATACTGGAAAATAAAATGATGAATTAAGTAGACTTGTCTCTGAGAATTACTGACACCACTGAAACATGGCAGTCGATCAAATAATAACTTACATCAAAGATTTCAAAGCCAGCAATATCCAGCACACCAATAAAGTACTGTCTTGGGAGTCTGGTGTCCAGCTGCTGATTGATACGGGTCACCATCCACAAGAACAACTTCTCAAACACAGATTTGCTCAGAGCTCCAATAGCGTTATACACCTGAGGAGACAAATGGCATTTCATTTTTATAAAGTTAATGTTTTCTGGTAATTTATAAATAGAGATGTTTAGGCACTTCATTAGTTACATTTCACAAAAGCACACATGCTGCTCTAAACAACAAGTGTTCTTGCACAGTGCAAAAGATAACCCAGCCCAAAAGACATCAATATAATATATCTTATACTTTATTTAAAAATAGGGGTATTTAATATTTATTACCTGTTGGACTGTCTGTCCTTTGGTGACATATTCATTTCCAACCTTTACTCTCGGGAAACACAAAGCCTTCAGCAAGTCAGCAGAGTTCAGACCCATCAAGTAGCCAATTTTATCAGCAACTATATGGAAGACATGCATCATATGTACATTTTCACAATGCCTATAGTCCACAGCTAAAGTTTAAATTATGAGGACAGAGGAGATACCTTCGGTGCCATCGGGCTCAGCCTGCTCCTCTCTCTGCTTCTGTTTAAACCTCATGTTACCATGGTGCATGACTGCTCCAGTCATCTTGTAGATGCCATTCTTCTCATCTGAGTTAAATCCCAGAATATCGATGGCACTCTGTGAATACACAAACGTGTGAGTTCCAGTGACTGATTAAAGCTGTTAGTTGACATTGTATTGCATTTCACATGTGAATACATACATCTGTAGCCATCAACTCCTCCTCGTCATCAATACTCTTCACAGAAATCTCTCCCTGGCTGATGAAGGGGTAGTCATATGGGTTGGTGGTAACAAGCAGCATTTCTAGGTGGCAATATTGAGTTGAATTAACATACTGGTTTTAAAGCGTGTTTCATTGATTATCTAATAGATGTCAGACCATGTTGACATCACTTTTTCTCTATGATATCGTCGTTGGTAGAAGTCTAATCTTACCAATAAGCTCTGGTCTCTTGTTGGTCAGGATTTGGTAAAAGATATGGTAGCTTCTCTCAGCTGACAGTTGGAATGTCACTCTGGATTTTTCCAAAAGGTCTATAATGATGCGGAATTACAGATCAGTAGACAGAAAACTAAGTTAAAGGAAAAATACATAATTAAGGTTGCCGAGCCTTACATGTTTCAATATCTGCAGAGGCCAGTTTTCCTGTGGTCCCAAAGTGAATTCTGATAAATTTACCCTAAAGATGGGAAATGATCATTTAACAATATTTCCATTTCTGAGATATATGTCTATACATTTCCAAATGTGTGTAACTTACAAAACGAGAGGAGTTGTCATTTCTCACAGTCTTGGCGTTACCAAAGGCTTCCAGTAGAGGGTTGGCCTGGATGATTTGATCTTCCAGAGTTCCCTGGTAATTTGTGATTAGAACGCATGTAAAGAAAATACCTTTTCAGATGCATGATGAAAATACAGTTCCTCACATTTATTTATTCATTAAAACCACATTTCTTTTTCTCAGAGTCCTCTAGGGAAGTGAATATTTAATCTTGTATGAGTATACTAAATGTTAGATTCGAATCAGATTAATTAAATATTGAGAGATAACTTGGAAATACACGGTGATGTCAGGGGAATGGGTGGTCTGAGGATAGAATAAATGGAGGGATTTATTGTTTTATATTCTATGGACAGATAGAGATTGCTGAGGAAGAGGAAATAAAGGGAGGAAGTAATGAAGGGAGCAGGGATGTAAGGCAGTTCCATAAACAGTAGCTGAGGTATCTAGCTGAATGTGGCAATTACATAGGTGAGTAGCGTTTAGAGGGAGATTTATCGGCACTGGAAAGGTACATGGAGGAGGCAATGAGGAAAATAGAGCATTACTGAATTAGAAACCATCAAAATCGATGTGGAAAAAGGATGAGGAACACGAGCAGAACACTGTACTTGACAAAATCTATGAATTAAGAGGATGGATGAATGGTGAATGTATACGGTTTAATATGATGGGCGCTGTGGATGAATGGTGAATGTATACGGTTTAATATGATGGACGCTGTGGTTGAATGGTGAATGTATACGGTTTAATATGGGGGTCTTGATTATTGTGTCCTCTTTACCTGCAGTTTGTTGCCAGACTCTTTCTTCTTGCCAGCATCTGCAGCAATTGTTGCAAAGTACTGGATGACACGCTTGGTGTTCACAGTCTTTCCAGCTCCGGATTCTCCACTATTGGAAATAAATAAAACACATGACTTTGTAATATGCTAGGGTATGAGTCATGGGAGAGCAAAATGAGACTTGAATTGGCTTGCCATGTGGCGTTCACCAAATGTATCCAAATACCATGAACAAACAACACAAATACCGTGAACATAATATTAATTTTTATTTCAATTTCAAGTCATGTGCCATATCTGTAGAAGTCTCAGCTTATAGAGAAAATTCTTTGGACCTGCATTTTTTAACTTAAAATAAGAATTAACTTACGTAATCAGGATTGACTGGTTCTCACGATCTGTAAAATGGAAAAAAGACAGAAATGATTTAGTATTAGTATAATTATTTATTTCATTTCTTGTATTAATATGAGTCACGGCTCTGACAAAAACAAAGTCCATTTGGTACAGAATAAATCTAGCAGAATATATGCTATAATATATAAATACGTGACAATTTATGAATTAACATTTAATGTCTATTACATTAATTAGCAATGCTGGGGTCTACATTGGGGGTCTGCCTGTTAACATGAACTGATAGGCGTTATCAGAGATTGAGAAAATGTGGGGAGGCGCTTCCTGACGCTTCTTTCCCCTGTAGCCATTCACCACCTCGGGGTTGTACACTGGCAGCCACTTGTAGGGGTTCACAGTCACACAGAACAGGCCGGAGTAGGTCTGCAAAACACAATTAAACCTATAATTAAAAATTAAAACTCTGTCTGTTTGTATATTATATCTCACCAAAATATTCAATATCCTCTCCTCCCTTACTCCATCTACTGTTTCTTTATCCAGCTATCTCATATAATCTTTATTTTCTCCCCATCTTCCCTTCCCCTCTCTGCTCCTCTCATATAGTTTCTAGAATATCCATCTCATCAATGCATTGATGTCATAGTTTCTTACGTAAATCATCCAGGCTGCGTAACGCTCTTTGAGGTTATACAGCACGGATGCCTCGTTTAGATGGGTCAGCATGGCCATGTCTTCAATCTTATCGAACTTCGGGGGATTTTGGGGGTTCACCTTATCTTCTTTAACTGTTACAGTCTACAAATAAATTGAAAGGACTCAGCGGGAATATTGTCATATTGATTAAATACATAAATGTGGATTCATTTTTCTGCTTACCTTTCCATCGTCAGTATTGACAGTGATTTTGCCACCTTCCCGTGAAACAACTGTTCCTTTCACATAAAGCTCCTTGTCATCGTGCACAAAGCAGGAGTTTTTCGCATCAAAAGGCTTGTTCTGCGCCTCTAATCTCTCCTTCTCAGTCTTACGTAAATACAGTGCAGCCTCCCCAAAGACCGCCATATCTGCGTCTGAAGACATGGCTGCAGTTCACTGGAATAGATGATATGATGAGCTTTAACTGATCTATGTGTGGTTACAGTTAGACAGAGTATTTTATAACGCATGAACTTCTGGTTTAATTAGCATTGCAGATCATTAGCGAAGAGATGCACAGGTTATGGAATATCTCTTACTGGAAAATCATACAGAGGGTTACATTGGTCAAAGCCCACCTTGATCTATCTGGTTTCCCCACGCAGAGCTCATTAAAGGTCAGACATCCTTTATATGCTCTGCATGCAGCTGAGCTTTATTCTTCTCAAACTGGGCATTATCGTTATCCTATTTCTCTAAAAATTATTTTATTTGTTATAAAATTGTTTTAAAATTGTGTTGGAGCTATAACACGATAATGGTAATTCCCTTTGTCACATGCTAATGAATGAGGGGTGTATTATATATATACTATGAGCGATAATAATATGTTATATTAAACGGGTCAGGACAGCATGCAATGCAAGGAATGAAACTTACCACTCTGCCACCCAAGCTTATCAGAAGAGCCCTACCAAGCTGTGAACGAGATACAGCATCTAGTTAGAGAGCCTGAGAGCTGACAATCAGAAAATAATGTCCATTGTTATATTCAGTATAATGTCCAAATATTGTTATATTCAGTATAATGTCCATTGTTATATTCAGTATAATGTCCTAATATTGTTATATTCAGTATAATATTCATTGTTATATTCAGTATAATATTCATTGTTATATTCAGTATAATGTTCATTGTTATAGTCAGTATAATGTCAAATATTGTTATATTCATAATGTCCATTGTTATATTCAGTATAATGTCCATTGTTATATTCAGTATAATGTCCAAATATTGTTATATTCAGTATAATGTCCATTGTTATATTCAGTATAATGTCCTATTGTTATATTCAGTATAATATTCATTGTTATATTCAGTATAATATTCATTGTTATATTCAGTATAATGTTCATTGTTATAGTCAGTATAATGTCCAAATATTGTTATATTCAGTATAATGTCCATTGTTATATTCAGTATAATGTCCAAATATTGTTATATTCAGTATAATGTCCATTGTTATATTCAGTATAATGTATTGTTATATTCAGTATAATATTCATTGTTATATTCAGTATAATGTCCATTGTTATATTCAGTATAATGTCCAAATATTGTTATATTCAGTATAATGTCCATTGTTATAGTCAGTATAATGTCCATTGTTATATTCAGTATAATTTATTGTTATATTCAGTATAATGTCCATTGTTATAGTCCGTACAATGCCCATGGTTATATTCAGTATAATTCTATTGTTATATTCAGTATAATGTCCATTGTTATAGTCTGTATAATGTCCATTGCTTTATTAAGTATAATGTCCAAATATTGTTATAGTCAGTATAATGTCCATTGTTATTTTCAGTATAATGTCCTAATATTGCTATAGTCAGTATAATGTCTATTGTTAAATTAAAATATAACTTTTAATATAGAAATAAATTAAAACAAATTGTATGGTATAAAGATCAAAATAAATATATATAATAAAATGAAATACTGTAGGATCAATTATATAAAGCGTGATTAGCGATAGTAAACCAAGGAGGTCCTGTTCAAAAGTTTGCAGGACAAATCTCCAAATAATATGCAGAAAACCTTATAGGTTTTCAAATGCATAAAAATGTGTGTCTCAAATAAGTTACCACAGTGGAAATGCACAATCCATACAATATTAAATAGAAATTGTTACATACATAGTGCCAGTTGGATCCAAAACCGGCACTGGATAAAATTTAGTGTAAGAAAAAAATTTATTATTATTATATTCCTCACTAAATAGCCAGCTCATACAGAGGGAGTAGGGATTAATACGAAAATATAACAAGAGCATGTGCTCTAAAAACCTCCCACTTGTATAGCTGGAATAGGGCTAAATATCGAAGTATGAAGAATATAAAGTCTAATGCCCGTCTGAACAGACGGCGATACTATGGTCGATGTGTATTGAAAGAGCCCTTTCCCCTGACGCGCGCGTTTCGCCCACAGCTCATCAGAAGGGAACCGATATAAGCAGAAACGTGATGGTATGTTTTCCCGCACATCGGTTCCCTTCTGATGAGCTGTGGGCGAAACGCGCGCGTCAGGGGAAAGGGCTCTTTCAATACACATCGACCATAGTATCGCCGTCTGTTCAGACAGGCATTAGACTTTATATTCTTCATACTTCGATATTTAGCCCTATTCCAGCTATACAAGTGGGAGGTTTTTAGAGCACATGCTCTTGTTATATTTTCGTATTAATCCCTACTCCCTCTGTATGAGCTGGCTATTTAGTGAGGAATATAATAATAATAAATTTTTTTCTTACACTAAATTTTATCCAGTGCCGGTTTTGGATCCAACTGGCACTATGTATGTAACAATTTCTATTTAATATTGTATGGATTGTGCATTTCCACTGTGGTAACTTATTTGAGACACACATTTTTATGCATTTGAAAACCTATAAGGTTTTCTGCATATTATTTGGAGATTTGTCCTGCAAACTTTTGAACAGGACCTCCTTGGTTTACTATCGCTAATCACGCTTTATATAATTGATCCTACAGTATTTCATTTTATTATATATATTTATTTTGATCTTTATACCATACAATTTGTTTTAATTTATTTCTATATTAAAAGTTATATTTTAATTTGAGGGCACTCACTTGTTCTCCTTTTCTACTTTCACTACTGCTGTAGTCTATATAGGGTTAATCCCTTCTATGAGTGTATCCTTTCTGCTTCCTATTTTCTTCAATTTCTATAATGTCTATTGTTATATTTAGAATAATGTCCTAATACTGTTATATTGAGTATAACGTCCATTGTTATATTGAGTATAATGTCCATTGTTATATTGAGTATAATGTCCATTGTTATATTCAGTATAATGTCCAAATATTGTTATATTCAGTATAATGTTCATTGTTATATTCAGTATAATGTCATAATATTGCTATAGTCAGTATAATGTCTATTTTTTATAGTCAGTATAATGTCCAAATATTGCTATAGTCAGTATAATGTCTATTTTTTATAGTCAGTATAATGTCCATTGTTATATTCAGTATAATGTCCAAATATTGTTATATTCAGTATAATGTTCATTGTTATAGTCAGTATAATGTCCATTGTTATATTCAGTATAATGTCCAAATATTGTTATATTCAGTATAATGTTCATTGTTATAGTCAGTATAATGTCCATTGTTATATTCAGTATAATGTCCAAATATTGTTATATTCAGTTTAATGTCCATTGTTATATTCAGTATAATGCCATAGTATTGTTATAGTCAGTATAATGTCCATTGTTATATTCAGTATAATGTCCTAATATTGTTATAGTCCGTATAATGTCCATTGTTATATTCAGTATCATTTCCAAATATTGTTATATTCAGTTTAATGTCCATTGTTATATTCAGTATAATGCCATAGTATTGTTATAGTCAGTATAATGTATATTGTTACATTCAGTATAATGTCTATTGTTACAGTCAGTATAATGTCTATTGTTATATTCAATATAATGTCCATTGTTATATTCAGTATAATGTATATTGTTATAGTCAGTATATTGTCTATTGTTATATTCAATATAATGTCCATTGTTAAATTCAGCATAATGTATATTGTTATATTCAGTATAATGTCCATTGTTATAGTCAGTATATTGTCTATTGTTATAGTCAGTATTATGTCCATTGTTATAGTCAGTATAATGCCCATGGTTATATTCAGTAAAATTCTATTGTTATATTCAGTATAATGTCCATTGTTATAGTCAGTATAATTCTATTGTTATAGTCAATATAATGTCCATTGTTATAGTCTGTATAATGTCCATTGTTTTATTCAGTATAATGTCCAAATATTGTTATAAGCAGTATAATGTCCATGGTTTTATTCAGTATAATGTCGATTGTTATAGTCAGTATAATGTCCATTGTTATATTCAGTATAATGTATATTGTTATATTCAGTATAATGTCCATTGTTATAGTCAGTATAACGTCTATTGTTATATTCAGTATAATGTCTATTGTTATAGTCAGTATAATGTCTATTGTTATATTCAGTATAATGTCTATTGTTATAGTCAGTATAATGTCTATTGTTATATTCAGTATAATGTCCAAATATTGTTATAGTCAGTATAGTGTCCATTGTTATATTCAGTATAATGTCCATTGTTATGTTCAGTATAATGTCTATTGTTATAGTCAGTATAATGTCCATTGTTATAGTCAGTATAACGTCTATTGTTATATTCAGTATAATGTCTATTGTTATAGTCAGTATAATGTCTATTGTTATATTCAGTATAATGTCTATTGTTATAGTCAGTATAATGTCTATTGTTATATTCAGTATAATGTCTATTGTTATAGTCAGTATAGTGTCCATTGTTATATTCAGTATAATGTCCATTGTTATGTTCAGTATAATGTCTATTGTTATAGTCAGTATAATGTCCATTGGTATATTCAGTATAATGTATATTGTTATATTCAGTATAATGTCCATTGTTATAGTCAGTATAACGTCTATTGTTATATTCAGTATAATGTCTATTGTTATAGTCAGTATAATGTCTATTGTTATTTTCAGTATAATGTCTATTGTTATAGTCAGTATAATGTCTATTGTTATATTCAGTATAATGTCCAAATATTGTTATAGTCAGTATAGTGTCCATTGTTATATTCAGTATAATGTCCATTGTTATGTTCAGTATAATGTCTATTGTTATAGTCAGTATAATGTCCATTGTTATAGTCAGTATAACGTCTATTGTTATATTCAGTTTAATGTCTATTGTTATATTCATTATAATGTCTATTGTTATAGTCAGTATAATGTCTATTGTTATATTCAGTATAATGTCCAAATATTGTTATAGTCAGTATAGTGTCCATTGTTATATTCAGTATAATGTCCATTGTTATGTTCAGTATAATGTCTATTGTTATAGTCAGTATAATGTCCATTGTTATATTCAGTATAATGTCCATTGTTATAGTCAGTATAACGTCTATTGTTATATTCAGTATAATGTCTATTGTTATGTTCAGTATAATGTCCATTGTTATGTTCAGTATAATGTTTATTGTTATAGTCAGTATAATGTCCTAATATTGTTATAGTCAGTATAGTGTCCATTGTTATGTTCAGTATAGTGTCCATTGTTATGTTCAGTATAATGTCTATTGTTATAGTCAGTATAATGTCCATTGTTATATCCAGTATAATGTCCTAATATTGTTATAGTCAGTATAATGTCTATTGTTATATTTAGTATAATGTCCTAATATTGTTATAGTCCGTATATGTCCATAACTCACTTTCCCCACAAATAACACAATATGAAGAATTTACTGAAAAAGAATGAGAACTTACCGACTGGACGACACCTTGTACGATTGTCCATGCCATCTTTCCTCTTTATATATATATATGTTTCCCACCATCTGACCAGCCCTTTGCTATGCATGGAAGCTGCATGGTGGATGTTTTACATTATCATTTGACTGCTTTCTTTTATTGCTATTAATATCTTGCCTTTCATAGGCTTTAGGAATGCTTAAAAAAACACACACACTAAGGATGCCTAATTGCATTCTCAATGAAGGCAATATCCATCACATGTGGGCGACATATCAAGGAGAGACATATTAAGGAACTGTTGTCCTATGTCTTAGATCCAAGGTAGACAGATAACGATCAACTTTCAATGAATTCCTTCAGAGATCACAGATTATTGGGAGAAAAGTCTCCTGCTAAACCTATGGGACAGGAAATATATCAAAAAAAGTTACAGTAATTATGGTGGGGCAGAGGTGTATGTTATATGGATTTATACGGGATCCGAGAAACGGTGATTATGGTGGGGCAGAGGTGTATGTTATATGGATTTATACGGGATCTGAGATACGGTGATTATGTTATATGGATTTATACGGGATCCGAGAAACGGTGATTATGGTGGAGCGCAGGTATATGTTATATGGATTTATACGGGATCGAGATACAGTAATTATGGTGGGGCGCAGTATATATCATATGGATTTCTATTGAATCCGAGAAACGGTGATTATGGTGGGGCGCAGGTATATGTTATATGGATTTATACGGGATCCGAGAAACGGTGATTATGGTGGAGCGCAGGTATATGTTATATGGATTTATACGGGACCGAGAAACGGTGATTATGGTGGGAGCTTTTGCGGTGAAGTTACGTTATATGGATTTTATACCGGATCGATACAGTAATTAAGGGAAGCGCAGTATATATCATATGGATTTCTATGGAATCCGAGAAACGGTGATTATGGTGGGGCGCAGGTATATGTTATATGGATTTATACGGGATCCGAGATACGGTGATTATGGTGGAGCGCAGGTATATGTTATATGGATTTATACGGGATCCGAGAAACGGTGATTATGGTGGAGCGCAGGTATATGTTATATGGATTTATACGGGATCCGAGATACGGTGATTATGGTGGAGCGCAGGTATATGTTATATGGATTTATACGGGATCCGAGATACGGTGATTATGGTGGAGCGCAGGTATATGTTATATGGATTTATACGGGATCGAGATACAGTAATTATGGTGGGGCGCAGTATATATCATATGGATTTCTATGGAATCCGAGAAACGGTGATTATGGTGGGGCGCAGGTATATGTTATATGGATTTATAGGGGATCCGAGATACAATGATTATGGTGGAGCGTAGTATATGTTATATGGATTTATACGGGATCCGAGAAACGGTGATTATGGTGGAGCGCAGGTATATGTTATATGGATTTATACGGGATCCGAGATACGGTGATTATGGTGGGGCGCAGGTATATGTTATATGGATTTATACGGGATCCGAGATACGGTGATTATGGTGGAGCGCAGGTATATGTTATATGGATTTATACGGGATCGAGATACAGTAATTATGGTGGGGCGCAGTATATATCATATGGATTTCTATGGAATCCGAGAAACGGTGATTATGGTGGGGCGCAGGTATATGTTATATGGATTTATAGGGGATCCGGCGATACGGTGATTGCGTGGGAGCCGCAGGGGGTATGTTAGCGCGCGGATTTATACGGAACTGGTACACGGTGATTATGGTGGAGCCTGCGTATATGTTATATGGATTTATACGGGATCCGAGATACGGTGATTATGGTGGAGCGCAGGTATATGTTATATGGATTTATACGGGATCCGAGATACGGTGATTATGGTGGAGCGCAGGTATATGTTATATGGATTTATACGGGATCGAGATACAGTTATTATGGTGGGGCGCAGTATATATCATATGGATTTCTATGGAATCCGAGAAACGGTGATTATGGTGGGGCGCAGGTATATGTTATATGGATTTATACGGGATCCGAGATACAATGATTATGGTGAAAGCAGGTATATGTTATATGGATTTATACAGGATCCGAGATACAGTGATTATGGTGGGGCGTAGTATATGTTAAATGGATTTCTATGGAATCCGAGAAACGGTGATTATGGTGGGGCGCAGGTATATGTTATATGGTGTAACGGAGCTCCTTGTACTCCGAATGAGTACCCTCCGTTGACGGATGCTCTTAGCGCTTCCTGAGGACTCCAAGCAGTGCAGCAGACACCACAACCATCACAGACTCCACAACCACTGTATCTTGACTGGAGTCTCGCCGTCTTCCTTCCACCCTGGATCAGCTTCTGTCCTCCAGGACTGTGTGGTGAAGACCCCTCCTCCAATGAGAGCGTGTCAGGTGATTCAAGCTCAGGGGAGCATGCAGAGCAGAGCAATCCCCAGTGTGATTATAACAGCTCCCTCCAATAACAAGACAAGGATACATTTAGAGGGATCAAGAAGAACTGTCTAAACCTTTATTTCCATTGGGACCAGCCCATAGAGTCACAACATTAACATTGCTGTGAAAACTCAATAAAATCACAAACAGTCAAACCATAGCAGTCAACACACAGTGACTTATCACAACACAATGGCACATTTTTAAAGGGGTGGGGGAGACAATATTTAACAGAAAATATCTCACGTGTCTGCAGAATTAGCAATATGCAAATCTACCCGAATATGCAAATGAACCAGTCTTGCTATTCAGGTAGTGCATATTGCTGTTGCTACCAACAGAGGGCACTAGACAAGCTCCATAGGCAAATCCACCTAGTTGGTAGCAAACCTCAGCAGTACAAGAGAGCAGGCAATACATTACACAGTACACACACACACACTATAAACAATTACATTACACACACCCTGCACCTATTATTGGTACAGGGTGACTAAAACATAAGATAAATAAAGCAGCCTACATAAATAGTCTGTCTGAAGGTAGACTATGGGCTTTAAAGCCAGATACATGAAAGAGTCATAGTCACAGGGGAGGAGGCTGGCAAGTAGGCCTCTCCAGGACCAAGTGGCGAAGGGCACTTCGTCACATATGGATTTATACGGGATCCGAGATACGGTGATTATGGTGAGGCGCAATATATGTCATATGGTTTTCTACGGGATCCGAGAAATGGTGATTATGGTGGGGCGCAGGTTTATGTCATATGGAATTACCTCACCTAGGCAAAAAATTATGAAATAATGGGGGTTTAGTTACAGTATTTGATCATACATAGCATAAGCCTGCCACAACGTGCAATGTATGATCAAATACTGTAACTAAACCCCCATTATTTCATAATTTTTTTGCCTAGGTGAGGTGTTTTTAAATATAACTATTACATTATGTGAGATTTGAAATCATTGTTTAGTGAATAAGCGAGTGCGCTGGATTCTGTATTTTGTATGTTGTATAAATTGGCCCCATCAGCACCCTATAATGTATGCATGTTCGGGTGAGTTCAGCCCTCTTGGTTTCATTTATATATTTGGGAGTCCAGGCCAACTCCTTGGTTTTGCACCCCTCCCTTTACAGGTGCCTCAGTCCAGCCACCCCAGAACCCAAGCCCAAACTACCCTACAAAGCCTTCAAAAGGTTTGCAGAGGTGGAAGAAGGCATGGATGACTTTTTGCAGGACTTTGAGCACCTCTGCCTGTTACATGAGATTGCTCCAGCAGACCTGGTTCCCCTCTTGGCTGGGAACCTTACGGAGAAAGCTGTGGATGCTTACCGTGCTGTGCCCGAGGAGGACCTGCCAAACTATACCGCTGTGAAATAGGTCCTGTTGACGAGGTATGCCATCACCCCAAAGGCATACCGCCGAAAATTCGAGAACTGAAAAAGTGGTCACAAGACTCCCACAATGAGTCGACTTGCTGCCTGAACAAGGCAGCCCAAAGCTGGGTGCAGTCCCCTGAGGAAGTGCTGCAGCTTGCAGTCCCCCAAGGAAGTGCTGCTGCTGTTCCTGTTGGAACATTTCTACAATGGGCTACCCACAGAGATTCAAGATTCAAGGGTCTTAGGCTGCGGTCTCTTACCCAAACGGAAGCAGGCCAAAAAACAGATGTGTACGCAGATATCCCCTACTATGGGATACCCCTCTCGAGTTTGGGAGGGAGGTAGTGTCCGACCCTTACCTGAAGTCCTGCAGAAATCAGGTGGCCACTAGTCGAGCTGGGTTGGATAATGAGTGGTTCATGTGGGAAAAAGGTTTACTGAAAATCAGTGACCGCTCCTACCACCACCAAACAGTTGGTGTTACCCAGGAAGTATCAAAAGGAGCTACTGAAGATTGCTCACGATATCAGCCTGGCCGGGCATTTGGGACAGGGCTGGACACACTCCCGACTCACCCAAAGCCTCTTCTGGCCAGGCATCTCCCAGGATGTGAAGCGGTACTGTCGGTCCTGCGATGTCTTCCAGAAGGTGGGGAAGCGGGGCAACCATCACAAGGCCACGATCTATCCCCTACCCATCATTGAAGACCCCTTTGGCAGAGTAGCTGTCGATATCATAGGTCCCCTTGCTAAGTCTAGTTCCTCTGGGAAGAATATCAGATATTCTGACTGTGGCAAACCTAGCCACTTTAGGTCATATTGCAGAACATTTGAAGGTTGTCTGAAATAGCTGTGTTAACCTGGTGTAAAAATTTATTCATGTGTTTTAGAATAGAGAGCATGCATAGGCTAACAGCCGTGAATAAAATTGTCAGTTGACTCCTGGAGCCGTGAATAAAATTGTCAGTTGACTCCTGGAGCCTTGAATAAAATTGTCAGTTGACTCCTGGAGCCTTGAATAAAATTGTCAGTTGACTCCTGGAGCCGTGAATAAAATTGTCAGTTGACTCCCTGAACTGTGTTTCGTCCGGTTACTGGGGGATTTGGGATATTGCCTTCTTTTCCAGCGCTTTACTTTGGATTACCTTCTATACCAGCGGAGATCTTGGGATTTAATATTGCAGCTCCGCTACGCTGACC